TGGTATGACTCGGCAAGATGTTAGGGATTCAGCTAGATTGCATATTGGAGATACTGGTCTGCTGGATTACGTGTTGAAGTCGATGCACAATGTGGTCGTTGGGGATGTTTTGGTTCGACGTTATGTTGATCCCATTACACGTATTCTGCACTATACAATACAGGAGCTTGATGATGCGGTGAAAGCCATAGAACCGAAGAAAGAAGAAGCTGTGGTGCTAGAGGAGATTACTCCTTTGAGGATTTTTACTCCATTGAAAGCTGGAGCTGATGTTTATGGAGATTTGTTGTTACTGTACACAAATGTGTTGTTGAACTATCCAGACTCTGAGCTAGTGAGATCTGCAACTCAAGCAATCTTAGACAGCAAGCACTTCGTTAAGGAGTGGCCTTTATGGGACGACAACAATGACAAAGTATTACAATTTGTTTGCCGTATCAATCCAAGTTTGATTGATTTGAGATCAGAACAGATCACAGAGCTACCTCCTGGTGACTTAGTTACAGTACCATTACAAGCCACAGTCTTTGATCTAAAGCAAGCCATTGAAGACACTTTCAGAGATACTTACTGCATCTTGTCAAATCTTGTGGTGAGTGAGATTGAAGAGGTTAAGGAAGACATGAGTTTGACCGAGTCTTGTTCTGCTTTAACAGTGACGGGTCATGGGATTGATTTGGAGTCAAAACTCAAGTGTCAAGGTGGATGTGATACATGGATGGTGAAATGTATTTGCAGGGCTAGAGACGATGATGGCGAGAGAATGATATCGTGTGATGTTTGTGAAGTATGGCAACATACACGATGTTGCGGTATCGATGATTCAGATACTTTACCTCCACTTTTTGTTTGTTCGAATTGCTGTGAAGAATTTGCAGAGCAACAGAGGAAAGTGTTGCAGCCAAAGTATGAATTTCCAAGTTCTGAGAACATGTTTCTGATTGAATCTGCAGATGATTTCTTTGGAGATCAGAGATGTCTTGGTATGATTTTTCCTGAAGAAAATTATCTCTTGTAAAGTCATTTTTAGATCAACACATTGTAGATAATCAATTCTTTTGTTAATGAAACAAAATTGTATATGTGATTTGTTTGTCTCATGTGAGTTTGGCTTTGTGGTTTACAAGTTAGTTAAGAGAGACTCTGTTACAAAGGGAGGGTTCTAAAAACAGAGAAAATCCATATCAAACCGCCGGTCCAATCCGGTTTTGTGGTGTTTCCTCTATACAAAATGTATCAAAATGGCTTCTTAACATGTTTAAACTCAATAGAAGAAGAATCAGAACGATCAACAAAACCATTCATCTTCATAACTTTGTTCATCATCTTCAACAACTCAGTAACTTTCTCCTTTGTTCCTTCACCACATCCAACTTGTAACATCACCACAAGCTTCTTAAACGCACCTAATCTCAACGCTTCTTCAACTTCATACCCATCTCCACTTTTACAAATCTTCCACATCACAGAAACCAAATCTTTCTTCTCTGTAATCTTCAAAATTTTCTTCACCAATATCGGTATCACCAACTCGTTTCTTCTCACTTTCTCTCTTCCTTCTTTAGTTTCACAAATAGCGTTTAAAACCGTTAACGCTTTCTCACAAACACTGTTTTCAGAATCAACTAACATCTCCACTGTTGTATTCACAAGATCCAATTCAAGAAACCTTGAAACGGTTTCTTGATTTGTCAAGATCATGTGGTGGATTGATGTTAATGAGTTGACGCATGTAGAATCGCGATTAAGCGATTTCAAGAACGCTTCTTCGACGCCATTGATCTTTGTTAACGCGTGAACGTGAGCTACGTTAAGCTCAAGAAGCTCTTTTATCACAAACGCTGCGTTTTGATCTCCGTTTCTCAAAAGTTCTACTAAACGATTAAACGACGACGTAGTGGTGAGTTTGGTTTGACCTTCTGAACCAATGGGAAGCATCCACGTCAGCACAGACACAATCTCTTCCAATAATATTGACGCGTTTGCGTTTTCGGAAAACGCGTCTAAGCAAACGCAAAGAACCAATCCGGCGCCGTTTTCCTTAACGCATTTTCGGTTCCTCTCGCTCTCTTTTCCCAACATCTTCAACTTCCTAACCATCTCGCTGCACGCGGCGTAGTCTCCACGCCACGTAGCAGCGGATAACCTCCCACAAATCTCGGAGACTTGATGACTCGTCACGGGTACACGTGGCGTCGGGATTCTCTCAATCCCGCCGCCTAGTGACGACCCACACCAACCTTGAATCATTCTCCGAATCGTATGATTCGGAATCTGCTCCAAACTTGTCAAAACCGTGTTAGTAACGGGACAAGTTTGGTACCCGGACTCGAACCACTTCTCGATGTTTTCGCGGTCGTAAGTGATCCCCGAAGCAATAATCACCGGATCTTTCATTAGCTCGTAAGAAATCGGACATTGAAACTGCGACGGGACCGTTATCTCCACTTCCTCTGAGCAACTAGTCACCGGAATAATCTCCTTCTTGCTTCCACTTCCTCCACGACGTCTCACTCTCAATGAAAGTCCCATTATTTGACCGTCTCTTGCTAATGAAGAAAACAAGTGGGGATGACATTTATATATGTATGTATAAAATTTTATATTTAAATCAGTCGTTATCATACGCTTCTCGAACGCGAGTGGGTCAAAGTTAAGTTTTAGGTATAAGGAAAAAAAAATCACGGGAAAAATGAAATTTGAATTAATGGAGAAGGTTTATGTCATATTATTCGCTAGCTGTTAAAGAATCGTAAAAATTGACCGTTGAATGTTTGAAATTTAATGACATTGACAGCTAATGCAGAAATAGGAAAAAAAATAAAAGTTCTTAAACCTATTCTTGGGTTGGCATTTTTTTTTTTTGGCAATCCTCAATTCTCTTTTGGTTTTGATGATTGAGTTTTCTATATTTTTTGTAATTGTAAAAATCTTAAGCATTTTTGGTATATTTCGATAAGATTTTTGATTCCGCAAAAAAAAAAATTTAGTACATTCGAATGAGAGACAAATAGATTTTTAAGGCACAATTAGAAATTAAAATTTGATTTGGTTTAATTCTGTTCGGTCACTATTCGAAGTCGTAGTGAGAATCAATTTAATAGAGAGTATGTTTTATGATTTTATCATTGCAATTAAAATATATATTGTTATGAAGAAAAAAATAAAGGGATTATTGTCTAAAATGCCATTTTTTTTTGGAAAACTTACGCAAAATACCATTTTTTGAATAGTTTACGGATTTTGCCATTTTTTAACACTTAAAAATGTATGTATTTATTATTTTTTTTGCAAAAATACGTACTTTATACCAAATACTAAACCCTAAGAACAAATAGAACCGACTAAACTCAAACATAACGAGTGAAACGCATGTTAAATCATATTTTTGGAACCTGAAAAATGGCAAAATCCACAAACTATTCAAAAAATGGCAAAATCCACAAATGCCATTATGAAAAATGGCAAAATCCGTAATTAATTCAAAAAATAAATATAGAAAAATGAAAAATAAATGTGAAATCGGCTAGAGATTGACTAAGTCAGTGGTCAAGAGTCGGTGCATGAAAACGCTACCATGCGCATATGGACATTACGTAACGTTCTTACCTGTTTGATAATTCGCTTTAGCTTTTTTTTTTAGTCTTGTCCAAATTTCTCCAACTACATATAATCTTCTTTTAAAAAAGAAAAATAATAATATTAGTAAGAATCACGGTAACACCTATCTCCAACTCATAATTTGAACTATCCCGATATTGTGTTTTCCAGCTAACTTTTTGTTCGACCAACATCTCAACCAAAATATATTACACAAAGTGCTTCATTTCTACAGAATAACTTTAGGTTAGAAATCGAATGGAATGGGCTTAATTGTTGGAGAGTTGGGCTTCATTTTTGTAAACTCTTTTAGTGGATTTAATACTTTGAGATACTTCGAGAGTCTTCTCCCTTAGAGTCTATTGTCTAAACACGATTTGCTACCATCGATAATCAGATCCACAAACTTTTTCCCCACAAATAACATGTGTACTTTAAAAAAAATTTATTAAAACTAGCCGGCTCTAAGCACAAGCCAATGAAGCATGTGCGTGCGGCCCCATAATATAAATTGGCCCCATTTTGTAAAATGTCTTGTTAGTCTAGTGGTTTAAGTGTTTAAAGATACTATCTGATATCCTGAGTTCGATCCCTCATTATAACAGTTTTTACATGTTTTAATTTTTTGCTTTGTTAACATAATAATTCAGCCCAAACATTAATTGGGCTTGTAGCCCCTATATTTCCTGCGCTGGTTCTAGTGACAACGGTTTGAGCGGTGCGGGATAAGCTGTTCTAGAGGTGCGGTGCGGTCACTACAAGAAAACTGGATTTTAGCGACTACACTAAAAGTCGCTAAATAGTCGCTAAATGGTGGGTTACGACTAAATAGCGACTAAAACATGTAGTCGTAAATCGAGTCGCTAAAATTAATAGTCGTTAAATTAGTCGCCATTTAGCGACTACTTTACGACTAATATTCGTAGTCGTAAATGTAGTCGTAGAGTAGTCGCCAAATTTAGTGACTAATTGACGACTATATTGTGACTTTGGTCTTAATTATGTATTTATATATTTATACAGTATTGTATTTATTTATACAATATTTATGTATTTATACAATATTTATGTATTTATACAGTATTTATGTATTTATACAGTATTTAGGTATTTAAATATTTTTACTAATTATTTTATAATATGTTTTTGGAAGGTACTGCTATTAGTAATAAAAATTATACATTTAAAAGAAAACCATATTACAAATAAAACTAAAAACATTATTGAAAATAAAATTACATCATCCTCCTAAAAACATAATTAACACAAAGCATATAACAATTTTTAAGAAAGAACTTGGCTTAATTAACTCTTTTGATTTCAATTCTTCTTCCTTGTCTTACTCTTTCATGCTTTTTCTGCTCCAAAAACTGCCTCATGGTTATTTCTATTATCCAACTCTACAATACAAACACACATAAGACCAAAGCATCAAAGGCTATATCAATATGAGCTGAAATTAAAACAGCAAAGAACTTGACGAGATACGCCAAAACAGTTCTTAAGCAAGCATCATTTAGGCAACTTAATCTCCGGACATCACAATCAAGAACTTGAATATCTACATTATCCAGAGAAACATATGTAAATTTATTGGTCAGATGGAAAAAGATGTCCAATCCCTAGCCTACAAGAGAAATCGAGATAAAGTAAGCAAATATCAAAACTTACCAATCCAAGCAGTAGCAACAGATGCTAAAGAAGTTCCAACTGCAAACACGACCATGTGCCTCTTGAACAAGTCCTAAGTGATTAAACAAAACTACATTTAAGCAATTATACACATAATTGTTTGTAAAAACTTTGGTAATCCTCCTTACCAGTCTTGATTTCTCGTCCCAATCAAACCTGCAACATATGTGATAACATCTCAAACACAGCATGAAGACTGATACGACATCACACAATCAGACTTCTTTTTAACATTCAACCAATCAGACTTCTTTTTAAAACAATCAAACAAAGAATCAGACTTCTTCTTAAAAAGAATCAGACTTCTTAAAAACAATCAATCCTAAGACAGACACACAATCAGACTTCTATCCTAAGCCACACAAAACAATAAGAACAAGCAAACAGTCAAACACACAAAACATTTTGAAAACAATCAGACTTCTTCTATCCTAAAACACACAAAGCAATCAGAAAAAAACCACTATAGAAGGGACCAAGAGTCATACCACGTCGGGTCTGGCAACGGTGTTGGAGAGAGAACGGTTGTAAACAGATGACGGTCCGGCACCATAAGCAGAGCAGTCAGAGCCTCAAGCGTATCCTCCTGGAGATCCGGCAATTCGTTTTGGAAGTTGTTACCTTGAGAGGAACAGCCAAACGCGTGACTCTGAGCCTCAGAGTTCTGATGTGGAGACGGAGGAGGATCCTGCTGTGGAGACAGAGGAGGATCCTGCTGCGGAGAAAGAGGCTGTCGGTGTTGAGGCGTTTGTTGTGGACGCCGTCGCTGACGAGGCGCAGATTTTTAGGTCTACGGTTTGCAGCGGTGGAACCAACGGCTCTCTGAGACGCGTTGGGAGCATTTCTTCTCTTCCGGCCTCGCTTACCAGTCATCTTGTTCCGGATTTGCAGGAAACAGAGTGAAGAGACGAAGGGTCAAACGAATTGCTTCGCGAATCGAGGAATTAGGGTTTGATTTGAGGAAGTTTTGGGGAAGAAATGGAGATTAGGGTTCGATTTGAGGAAGCGGAAGAGGAAGAATCGAGGAATTAGGGTTTAATTTGTTTGAGAGAAAGAGTAAGAATCGAGAAGAAGAATGAGGAAGATGACTTAGGAATTCTCGGGGTGGAGGTGAGTTTAGTTGGGCCTGGGCCGACTTCGTTTTAGTTGGGCTTGGTTTCGCTGGATCCATTAGCCTAGTTATTTTTCTTAGTCGGAATTTAGTAGTTAAATAGTCGTTAAAGGAATTTAGTAGTTAAGTTTAGGGTTTGAAGTATAGGATTTGGGGTTTAAGTTTAAGATTTGGGGTTAAGTTTTGATTAAAAATAAGATTTGGAAAACTATAATTTTTATAAGTGTTAGTTTTCAGTTTATGGATATATTATTGTAACTAGATAATTTTTTTGAATTTTGAGATTTAAAGTTTTGTATTTAGGTTTTAGAAAAAATGGTGAAGTTTGATTATATAAACAGTTATGGAGATTAAATAGTGACTACAAAACCACCATAAGGTGACTATGTTTTGTAGTCACATATTAGTCACCAAATTAGCGACTTTTTTGTGACTATTTTTTTCCGTATGCAATGTAGTCATAAAGTAGTCGCCTATTTAGCGACTACAATCAATAGTCATTCAAAATAGTCGCCTATTTAGCGACTACGATACGACTATAGTCGGGGTCTTATATGTTAGTCGTATAATAGTCGCTATATTACGACTATTTTAATGACTACAGTATGTAGTCGTTAATTAGCGACTATTATACGACTATATACTTGTAGTCGTAACATTAGTCGCAGAGTAGTCGTATTTTAGTCGTATAAATTAGCGACTACACAATTAGTCGCCGACCGTAGTCGGTAATCGCCTGTTTTCTTGTAGTGGGTTTTACTGTGGTGCGGTGCGGTTTTACTGTGGTGCGGTTCAAAGAAACGCATCATGCGCAACAAGTGCGGTTACTGCGTAACAAACGGTAAAGAATAATGTTTGAATGGTGAAAAAAATAATATGCGGTTCAGGATAAATGTTTGAATGGTGAATATAACAAGTATGGTGCGGATATAATAGTTATCAAATTTTTAACTATTTTTTTTAGTACTTTGGATTAATATATTTTTTCAACTAAAATTGAATTGTTTTGTATAATTAACTCTCATATTTTTCAGATTTTTAAAACCATTAAAAAAAAAAAAACTTGAACCGCACGTAGTCACCTAAAAACACACCATAAGTGATGTATATTAACCACACACTGCGTTTCTTTACAAAAAGGATCCACTTCTACTTTTGATTATTTTATTTTGCAACAGTTATGTGTCAAAAAATTTGCCCACTGCGTATTGGATTAGTATACCGATTGGTTTATCCGGTTTAATTAATTGTGAATAGTATACGGTTTAGTACAGTTTTATATTTGTATAAATAGCAATGTAATTCTTCTTCTTCAAGTTAATGAGAAAATCACTTTAACAAAAGTTCTCCATTGTATATGCACCACGCCGATCATCCAGGTTTGTCGATCATCTCTCTACGTCTTGATGATACGAACTATGATGACTGGAGTGCTGCGATGCTTATTTCCTTAGATGCTAAGAATAAGTGATCCACTTCTACTTTTAAATATTTTATTTTGCAACAGTTATGTGTCAAATTTTGCTTGAATGGTAACATGAAGTCTATTGAATCGTACCACATAGTACGTTTAGGCTTCCCATTCTTGGCGAAATATTTATCATCTGATATCTTCTGGGCCTACCTCTTTTACTTTTATTTTTGTTATCACATAAACTTTTTTTAAGAAGAAAACGTTATTCTGATAAATATAAGAGGTAAAAATTCTTCCCAATTCTTCTAGCCATGCACCACTCAGACCCTAAAGGTATGACTGGAGAGAGGTAGAAGAAAACATAAGAGAGGAAAAGATAAGAAAATAGAAGAAAAGAAAAGTAAAATCTGGAAGAAAATTTTCCACCATGTATTTGTAATTAGAAAGTATTCTTTTTTTTCATGTTACTTTTTAAGAGAATTGAGAAGAATTTATTTATTTGACTGGTTAGTTTTAAGAAGAAAAGAGAATAATTATTTTTCTACCCCTAACTTTTCTTCTATTAAGTACTACCAGTCAAACCCTAAATTATCCTTGGTTTTTTTATATAGCACCATATCGGATAAAAACAAATCAGCCTTTAAAAAAAATATTTGTTATAAAAAATAAATGTTATTTACATACAGAAACAAGGCAGGCGACAGCGGCAGCGACAAACATTACCGCATGTTGTCGTTCGTTTCGTCGCCGTCAACGTTGCAACATGTTTTGTGTTCGTTTCGATGCCGCTCTCGCTGCCACCGCCGCAAGTTTCTGTGTTCGTTTCGTCGATACTGTGACAATTTTCACTTAATTCTTATTTTATTTTTATAAATTTATATAATCATATTTTGAAAAAAAAATATAATTTAAATATATTTACATCCATAAGAAATATTTTTTTAGATAGTAATAATTTTTAGTTAATTATATAATTATACAGCCCTACTTATTATACAACCCTACTTTTGTATCTTGGTAGGTATAGGGTGTAGAAATAAGTGTTAGATTGGTAAATGGGTTGAAATGACTTTAGATTTACAAATTGTAAATTGTTGTGGCAACCCAATGAAACCATTATTCTGTAAATGTCTCATTGCTGTTCTAGAAATATATAATAAGTTTTACTGTTTTTCAAGGTCCAATGCACAAAAAACCTCCTAAAACCAGCTCATCAGATCATCGGTTTCTTCATATATCGATCATAAATTGTAAACTGTTTCCATTGGTGTACAGTTATGATGTCTTCTTCTAACCCTTGAAGCATGTAATCAATGTCTCTAAGCGTTAAACCATTGAAAAAATTATGAGGCTCTCGTGCCTTCTATGAGCATTTCTCCGAAACCAAGTTAAAAACTCTCTATCTGTTGCTGGATTCAGTAACGTAGCAGTGCATAAACTTCAAATTTATGTACTTCTCTTGGTTAAGACTGATATACAAACTTGTTCACCATTAGAATATCCACAAACATTTTTCCGACAAATTACATATATAGTTAAAAGAAAGGAAATGTTATTTACCTCAAAAAAGGAGACCAAAATTATTTAGATTATCAATAGAAAAAATAAGGTTAAGTTAGTGCATGTACCTAAAAAATGAAATTGATCCAATATATAATTCTTATGTAAAAATGTTAAAGATAATTGAAATAAAAATTCTGGATATCATATACTTTTGCCCAACAAAAAAAAAAATCATATACTAAGATTATAAGAGAATTTGTTATTTGTTTACTACTTTGTTTCAATAAATTTTGTACTATCTTGTATTCGCAAAATATGAAATGTTATTTAACATTTATATGCGTACAACGAATTAATCAATGATTACCTGTTTAGTATTTTTTTTTTTTTTTTGTCGTCCAAAATTAATTAGAGCTCAAAAAAGTCATTTATGAGGAATGTTGTTTACATATGTGATATGAAACGGTTCTGTACGAATTTTTCGTGCCAGATTATCCGCTTTAGTATTAGCTATACGAGAAATTAAAGATAAAGAGAAAGAAGAAAACTCCTCCTTGTCGCTCTGAAATTCCTCAAAATACATTGAAAACGCCGGCCATTCGGTTGGAGAAGACACCATCTTCACTAGGTCTGAACAGTCTGTAAAGAACGCTACCTCTTGATTATCTGCACCAATCATACACTTCATCGCCCAGAGAAGGACCTCGAGTTCGGCATGTAGTGGAGATAGACTTCTACGGAGGTTCGCAGCTCCCATGGTTGGCGGCTCTCTATTTGACGATGTACAGAACCACCCTGTACCGGAGAACTTATCACTTCCTTTCCATGATCCATCCACAAAATAACGGTATCCGGAATAATTCGATTCAAGTGAAACATCTCTCACTCGAATTCGATTTACCAGATCCACAGAACCATGATTTTCGTTATGGAGGTCAACTTGAGCTGATTACCACAATTGTGCCTCTTTTTCCGCTAATCGTAATACCTCTATGGGGTATGTATCTATGTTTTCAAAGATTTTTTTGCTCTTTGCTTTCCAAATATACCAAATAATCCATGGGAATGCTGATGAATCAAATTCGGAAGGTATTCTCCAGAATAAGTGATCCAAATTCGCAAAATTAGATTCCGTGGGAAAAATCCCCATAGCCATAGGAATCTGTGAAAGCGCCCAAATCTGCCGTGCCGGATGGCACTGAAAGATTGTATGATTGATCGTTTCCTCTAGTGCGCCACATCTAGCACATCCCGTGTCACAATCAATTCCTCGTTTCCGTAAGTTTTTCGTAACCGGTACACAACCTGCTAAGATTTGCCATAAGAAATGGCGTATCTTAGGTGGACACTGCACTTTCCAAGAATGTGCTTTTAACGGATTGATATCAGGGCCAAAAAACTTTAAATTTGTCTCCAACTTTTCTAACAGTGTGGTATGATAGCCCGATTTGACTGTATATTGTCCGGATTTTGTAAAATGCCAACCCAAAGAATCTTCTTTTGTTGGTGCACCCACATGTATGGCGCTTATTAGCGCAACATCTTCTAGATCAAAGATCGCTTTTAAGAGATCAATATTGTGGATGTCGGATTCACACTCTCAAGTATTTTTATTAATAGGAAAGATGATTCTTGAGGGACAAAAAGTAAGAACGTAAAAAGGCTTATGAATTGCTACAAAAATTGCTATCGTATTTCTTGCTCCAAAGGGATCTCCCCTTACATGGCCATTGGCCTCCATATTTATAAATAGAGAAACGACATTAAAAATGAGTAATTAAGTACAATTATTCCTTCTTAAATGTGTCCGTTTTGATTCCTTGATTTTAATGCTCCACGTTTGAATTTGAGTTGACTCTGGTCTTTATGGGCCTCGCCTTTCGGCCCAAATGTACTTGGACCGACTTAACCATGACCTCGTCTCCGGACTCGTGTCGAGATGCAGTCACTTCGGACCCTCTTTATGTTGACAACCACTCCGACCGTTCCTTTGGCTCACGGATCCGACGGGCTTCATCCTTTATGGGTCTTCATCTTGTCTACGTGGCAATCTTTGGTTGGTCCCGGACTTCTGGTGCGGGATCCGACACCAACAATTAGCCCCCCAAGTTCTTCGAAGTGCCATTCCAATTCGGAGGACTTTAAATGCTTTAAATGACCAAAGATTGCGCTCGAGAATCTTTCTGATTTCCCGCCGAAAATCTCATTACTCCTTTAATTTCGGCACTAGCCATTTTTACCCGAGTGACATATGTCATCATTATGACCGTATATTAATTAATTACTATTAAAACGGGAAAAAACCTTCCCACTTCCCACTTCCCACACAACTTCCGAGGCGGTT